GACGAATAAAATGATATAATATCAGTGATGGATCCAGGAATTTTAAATAGAGATGACCAGGGATAAACTTTGAGAGATTGAGCGTAAACCACATCAGCCCTGGTTGAGGCTGATCTAATAACGTTTATGATTGTGGTACCTCTGGATGGCGGGAAATGCCACAGATTCAAAATTGTAATATAATTTGATTTTCATCTCCATTAAAACAAATGACAAATTTAGTTGGGGCTCCGGGCCGACAGGACGCCCTTTAATCCCTGTCTCTTATACACATCTAGATGTGGATAAGAGACAGTAACGTAATCGATAAATATTAAATAGGCCTATAATACTAAAACACTGTAGTCACTTAATTTTTCAAAAGACATAAAATTTCAAAGTGTCTAGTCTTCCCACAAAAGATTGTTTTTGAGTTTTTGATTATAATTATATTATTATTGGTTGCTGTTATTTTAATTCGTCAATACAGTGCTCATAATGGAATACTGGGCAAAATCATCAATCCATCACATAAATGCCCTCCAGTACGTTCCGCTATTTTTACAACGCCTTTACATTTTACAGCCTGCCTGATGGTCAAACATTATTTTTCACGATTGACTATGGTTATCTTTGTAAATGAGAGTTCCGCATATTTTTTTTTCTTTTAATCCTAAATTTGTTTTTGAGCACAATACCAATTTTTATGCTGATCGTTTCGAAATATTTTGCCAGGGCAAACATCATTTCTCACTTGAAGATTTGCACACAGATAGTCCGTATACCAATTAGTAGTACTGTACCCTCTTATCCAGGTCCATGATAGTACTGTTCTCAGTACTATGTTTCAATTTCTATATGACAGCTGATGTGTGGCATGTCTTAGGCCCTACTGTATAAATATATATGCTTGACACCGATGATGATATCATAAGTGTATGTCTACGAACGACGCATTGCCTGTTATGAGCTATAATTAAAAATAAACCTTTAATTCCATATCTATATTCTTCACATGTGAATTTGTAATTAATTTTTATTAACTTTAAAGTAAGTTCGAATGAGAAAAAATATTCCCCGATATTAAAAAGTAAATATTAACTTTCCTGTATTCAATTATAGATCCTGTAATTGACTCAATTATCTTTATATTTATTATAACATTGCAAATTTCAATAATAGATTTAATAAGGAAGAGCCCTCAACCGATGGTATTGTTGCAACTAAAACTGTCTTTCAAACTGTCGGTGAGGATTACAGCATATGGGAGGAGCAGAAAGATGTAGACGGTATGATTCTATAAATAAGAAACTTGATGTACACCGGTAATGTCGTTTAACAACCTTCAGAACATTTTAAAATATTTACAATAAATACTTAGGCCTATTTTGTTAATTCAATTTGATATATATTTTTTCGATAACTTCTCATTGCTGTGCCATTCTACAGAGATTGAACGAACTAAACAGATACGCGAACACGCTATCGCTACGAATGTAGCAAAGACGTTCGATTTCACTGCTTCTACGTCCTCATCTGATCGTGGAAGTATAGCATTTCCATCTACGTCCGCATCTCCTCTCGAAGGAACATCAGCTGCATCTGTATCAGAAATTGATCCCAGAAAAAAGTCATCTTTATCCCCTGTGTTTATCAGACGGTTTAAAGGTAGATATTTATTAATGTTAATCTAGTTTTGCTCGACTTGGGTTTGTTTTTTGTATAAGTTGTGAGTTCATATGATCCATTTCTATTTATTGTTTTTGTTGCGTTCAGTGGCGTGACGATGCCGTCGGGGCCCTGTGGCTTCTGAGACTGGGCACCACATGTGTGTTGGCGCCACGGGGGAGGGGGAAGGAAATTTCCCCCGTCGGCCTTACACCCTTTCGTCCGACGTCTCAACGATGTCGTTGGATGAAAGATTTACAAATATTTAATTTGCCTAAGGTATGCAAATAACGTTATTTTGATTGCCAATCGTTGTATAGTCTAAAAGCACAATTTGGACCATGCTAAGCTCTGAAAATTCTCCCGTGAACACTACCAAACTGGGACTAGGACCGAGGCCTTATAGTCGGCCCCTTTGGTTCGGACCCCACGTTTGTTATTCTATTTTTTTAACGACGAATAAAATGATATAATATCAGTGATGGATCCAGGAATTTTAAATAGAGATGACCAGGGATAAACTTTGAGAGATTGAGCGTAAACCACATCAGCCCTGGTTGAGGCTGATCTAATAACGTTTATGATTGTGGTACCTCTGGATGGCGGGAAATGCCACAGATTCAAAATTGTAATATAATTTGATTTTCATCTCCATTAAAAAAATGACAAATTTAGTTGGGGCTCCGGGCCGACAGGACGCCCTTTAATCCTCCACAATAGGCCTATAATATAGGCATATGATATAGGCCTATGTCATACAGTCGATGTCAGAGATACATTATGCTATTAATTATGTATTCATAAAACCTTTTTTGGTCAAAAGATCGAGGACCATATGAGTGGGGCCACAAGGGGTCGGGGCCCTGCGGACCGCCACACGAGAACGCATGGGCATTACACTACTGGTTGCGTTAAATCTAGACCGCTTATTTGATTTTGAATTGTGAAATAAATAAAGCATTCCTGTTTCCTGGATATGCATAATATGTGTAAAATGTCAACGATTATAATATTAGAATTATGAGTATTATCATCATCATCATAATCTTTATCATTATATCATCGTCTTTGTCATTAATATCATCCTCAACATTTTAACCATCATTATTATCAGCATCATAATTAAAGTTGTCACCACCCTCATCATCATCGTCACTATCACCATCATTATCATCATTTATTATTATCATAATCATCATCTTAACAATGAATACAACTTCCATCATCACCACAATAAATTACATAAAAAAATAAACAATTCATTACAATATCACTCTTTCATTCTAATTCTTATATACATGACTTACCATAGTATTCATGGCCTCTGATGACTTGCCTTAATATGTTCGTGTTTGTCTTACATCTGACCAGTAGTATATAAACCGGTAGTAGCTTAAGCATTATTACCTGATGATGATGTGTGACACGTCGAAACATGTCTTTATAGGCCTATATTTAAAAAAATGTGCTGTCACCCTTGTTGATGTTGATTTAACTATCAAATTATTTTCAGAAAAAACTATATCTGAAGACAGGGGAGAATCTACCGGTCTGCTTCATGAAATGCGAGTATCGACCAATCAACTTAATGAAATGCGCAAGAAAGTCATCGACAAACTTGCCAACAAGAGTTCTGAACCGAGTGATGTAACTTGCATATGGGACTATGCCGGCCAACTTGAATATTTCATTACTCACCGAGTAAGTGGCGATTCCAGGGGTGGAATCTAAAATTTGTCAAATGGTGGGGGGGGGGGGATCAAAAGTTTCAAAAGTGAGTAGCTCGTAACATTGATATGCATTTAACTTGTAAACTATTAGTGGCAAAAAAGGTGGGGGGTGGGAGGGCGTAAATAGCACTTCCTTCTATTCCTCAACCGGATTCGCGTTTGAATTTTATAAAACGATAAGACGTTGAATTTCTGAATCTTCCATGTTTGCTTGTGGATTTTTATGGAAGCAGAGACTTTAAAATCGAAGAAAAATGTATGAAGAATAAACAAGCAGTTCAAAGATGTTTAAAGTGAACGATTATACGCGCGTTATGACTATGGATCGCAAAGCGTATCAGACTAGGCCCCTATATATATATATTTTTTTTAATGCACATTCAGTAAAAATCCTTATACAGTCACGCAATCACTAATTTGTGCATTACTGCGAAAATCTATCATCATTATGCACGCAGTACTGAAAGGATGTGATTGTATGATATTGGAAAGTATAATACATACTCCAAGTATTGAAATACACGCCATCGTGTTGGGATTCAATATTTCGACATTAATTATGTCATCATCAGTATGATATTGTGTTTATAGAAACAGTTTGGCGCAACGGGGAACAGGTGTCAATCCCTCGCTGTGCATTTCGCTTGTGTCCTTGAGCAAGACACTTTATTTGCATTGCTTCTCTCCAACCAGGAGTATAACTAGGTACCTGGTGGGGTTGCCTGCTCCTGCGCTGATTACCAGCAGCAACACTTAGCATGTGGACCCAATGACCAGGGAAAGGAACTGCGCTTTATAACCGCAAGAAAGAGGCGCATTATAAATGCCCGTACCAGTACCAGTGTGTTGTATAACAATTGCACTGCATTGAATACAAAATATTATTTTGCTGAAATTACTGCAGCAGTGGCGTGTAGGGGGTGTTAGAAACGCAATCATGTTCAAGTGGTGCGTTGTTAAAAAACACCTAAATTAACCTTATTTTGAGAGTTAGCGCCCCAATCTGATCATCGAGTCCCCCACCCCTTCCCGCTTCACTTTCGGGCTTCCAATCAGCTTCCCCACTTCAAGATTCCTAGATACGCCGCTGTTTACCTCTCTTTGTTATAAATACAATACTTTCTCACAGTTTGTATATCCTATTTCTTTCCAGATTTTTATTACAGATGGAAATTCTTATGGAGTTGTTTTCAGTTTGGTAGATGCTTTGGATAAGCTGGCAAAAAGAAGAGATCCCAAAAAAGTAAACCATTTAAATATTCTAATTCTAATTTAAGGAACTCAATTGTTTAACTTTATTTAGTTTAATCAATAATAAGAAAAAAGTAAAACAAATTATCAAATGCATTGAGTGGGAAAAAACCCATTCCTGAAATAATTATTTTCAGCCTGTAATTAATTGTATATCAATTTATCCATAACCTTATTTAAAAAATTATGCTGACGATATTGTTTATATGCAGGGACATTTTGAGATGACAAATCTGCAAATGATCATATTTTGGATAAGGCTGATATATGAGTATGCTGTACTGCTACGTGGCTCAGAGGAGAAACCTTTGATCAATGGAATTATAGCATCTCCGACGATTAGTCTGATTGGGACCTCTTATACACATCTAGATGTGTATAAGAGATAATATATTGTAGGTCTGTGAGTGTTTACTATATTATTTGTTTCAAAATTCATTGATATATTCATTTACACCTACTATAAATTCTTCTATTCAAAGGTTGATGACATGTTCGACAGAATATTTAAGGAGCTCGAAGGAACACCATACGAACGTCACGTAGATCGTGAGAGGTATGCCGTAGACAACACCACAGCACTGGATGAAGGGATTCAAAGACTGAAAATAAAAGTAGGCGGTTTCATGAAGTCAATGGCAAGAACTGTTCCATTAAATTGGATGGACTTCCAAATTGAGGTACAAGAAGCCGGGAAAACAACTCTGCGCATGTCTTTAGATAAGGTAGGCCTCGTATGCTATTTGGCAACTACTAATGAATTACTGTATATAATTTCTGATTATGTTTTGCATTAAACCCTACTTTTACGTTTATTGAAAACTGATATTGGATTTCATTGGATTATTCCGATGTGATGCACAACAAGGATAACAGACGAAAATCATGAGACTTACTTTTTAGCAGCACATCGAATAACAATCCCCAATCTTTTCCGTTCTTTAACATGGGCCCTTTGTACATGGGACGAACGGCCTACGCTGGTGGTGAACTTGCATTTCATCCCTTCAGCTGAAACACAAGAAGGGCAGTGATGTAAATTGAACCAGGTGACCTATGTACAGATTTATCCCCACGGTTCGGCGCACACACAGTGCCTACCGCCAGTTTACCCGACTGAGCTATAGCTGCTCCAGTGTGGACATTTCTCTAGCGTAGATACTCTCTAGCGTGGACATTTCTCTAGTGTGGACATTTCTCTAGCGTAGACCACCGACACTCTCTAGCGTGGACATTTCTCCAGTGTGGACATTTCTCTAGCATAGACACTCTCTAACGTGGACATTTCTCCAGTGTGGACATTTCTCTCGCGTGAACATTTCTCTCGTGTGGACATATTTGTATTTGCAATTTTAATAATCGTATCTAGAATCTGTTACTGTAAATGATTAATCTATTTTGTGTTCTTGTGATAGCTCCGTCAATTTAAATGTTCCTTAATACTTTAGATCGCTAAGATTGCTGATCAATGTGGTATAAATGAAGACAACGTCATCCACGTCCTCAATTACCTTAATGATCTTGGAATCATCCTGTATTCGCCCACTTAGGCCATGGGGTGAAAATCCTAACGTTCAGTCCCGTTCCGAAATTTTCCTAATACTTTCACTCATTATGATAATTATTATAATAATATTTA